CCTGCCTAGGACAGTCGGGCAGGGCGCAGCCCCCGGGGCGCCCCCATCTCGGAGAAGCCGGGGAACTCCTGGCACCAGTTGCGAGAATATCCAGAACCCTCGCCGTTTTCGAATTCCAAAGGGCTGCGTCAAATTAGAACCACGAGAATCTGGCTTTGGGAGTGTGTGACTCAGTTTCCTCAGCTGGAAAACGGCCAAGACCATGATGAAACCCAAAAGGCTTGGGGACCAGGCATGTTTCCAACATCTGGAATATTTTAGATTTTAGAAAGTCTTCCCTGGTAGCCTGGTGTGGTGGCACACGCCTGTAATCACAGCACTTGGCAGGCTGAGGCAGGAGGATTGCCGAGTTTTCGAGGGCCAGCCTGGGCTACATAGTGAATTCAAGGCCAGCCTGAATTACAAAGCAAGACCCTGTCTCAAAAAGATTGTCTTCCTGGTGCATTTATGGTACATTGCTTAACATTCTCATTGGAGCCTGGAGTGTTAAAGTTGTTTCCTCAAGGAAAAGTATAAATGCTCACAATAAATGAGTGAGATTATTAAAAATTGCTCCTCCTTAGGTCAGGTCGGAACCAAACTTGGGGGTAAAGGGACAGTTTCCAGAGCTTTTTGGACTTTGGAATTGTGGATAAAAGATAGCAGAATGTGGGGAGGCTGAGGCAGGAGGATTACAAGTTAAGGCCAACCTGGGCATCTTAGTGAGACCCTATCTCAGGAGTAGCTCGGTGGTAGAGCAATTGCCTTGCATGCCCTGGGTTCAATAGCCCACCCTGGGAGCTGAGTTAGAGTTGGGTAGTAGAGTGTGAATAAACCTCTTAGTGATAAAAATGAGATCATGCTGGTGCAAAGGCCAAACAAGGACTGGATCTGATAAATAGGGTTAGAAACCAGTCTGTTCAGGGTCTACTTCTGCCTTCTGCAGCTCCAGGCAAGTCCTGACCCTAAATTCTGGGCCTCAGATTTCTGATTCTGAGAAGAGCAGCCCATCCACCCATGGATGAGAAATAGGCGAGGGAGTACAAGTTTATTGCTGGGAGGTTGGCAAGATACGGAGATGGCTCTTGGAGGACAAGGTTGAATGACAAAATTGTTGACATTTGCAAATGAATACAATCTCCAGACTGGACTATGATTGCATTTTCACCTCATGAGGTAGAGAATCATAACCGAAAGTCCAGGAGAATTCAACCCAATGGCCTGTCTGCTTTCCCCCACTCAAACACAGGGTTCCTCAAAACTAAGGAAGAGATTTACACTTCAGTCCAGATTGCTGAAAGAGTGACTGAATAGGAAGGAATGAAGCCTGTTTTTCAACTCTCTATGAGGAATGCCTGCATTTGGGGAGTAAGACTAACTTGGCTGCCTCAGGGCCTTTGCACTTGCTATTCGCACTCCTGTCAGTGCTTTTCCCCGGTTATCATTCATCTGGCTTCTGGTCCTACAGGTTGCAGCCCTACTTCAAAGAGGCCAGCAACTTACCACCATCTTGTCCAACATAACCTCATTTTGCTATCTTCATAAACTCTCACTTCTCTCTGAAAATGCTTACTTATTTTCTTGTCTTTCATATTTGACATCTGCCTATGCTCACTGCCTCAGCTACACAAGGACAGAAATCTGTGTCTTATTCCTCAAGTGTCCCATCGTACTTACTCTAATACAAGGTATACGGTTGAAGTTTGATCAATACTTACCAAATACAGGTGGAAATCAGGCTTTAATTAAATCTTTCAGCCAGGGATTTAGTTCAGTGGTTCTGCCACCTGCCTGGCAAGTGTAAGGTCCTGAGTTTGATCCCAGTACAAAAAATCTTGCTTCCACCCTTCCCCCACTATTTGCACTCGTTGGGCCTCACTTTGTTCTTCTGTGAAATGGCCATATCAGGGTTGTTGAGTGGGTGTGTAACTAGATAAAAACAAATACTGTAGAAAGCCACTTGCAGGGATAAGACCAAGTAAGTGGTGGCTGGGTGGCTATTCTTAGTCCCCTGGGTGTGACCGTGTTTATGAGAATGGGGCTCTAAAACCCCTTCCTGACATCTGTCAAACCACACCTCCACCAAGCTCTGAGTTAAGGGGAACTGGACGCCCTGAACACGTTCCCCCACAAGGTCTACAACCAAACTTTCCAACGTTCGCCTCTTTAGCACTCATACCCTAGCCCCCAGCTTTACAGCGCCACCCGGACTCACTCTCTAATCCTTTAGTTTCTTTCTCCTCTACCTGCCTCTTTCCCCATAGGGTCAAAAATTGTCAGTTCCCTTGCAACCACAGCCTCCCTCCTTGGGGGGATGGGATCGCAATTCAGGATGTGGTGACAGCAGAGGTGACCAGGCATTTCTGGCCTTGGCCAGTGCCTGCACCGGGGCTACCCAGGTTGGAGTTCGCGGGCTATAGGCCCCCCCTGCCGAGGGAGCTGGATTCCCAGGGTGGAGGAAACTCTGAGTCTCTCCCAGGAAGGGGAACGCCCAGAGGAGGGCGTGTGCACACCCTGGGGCAGCAGTTCCTCACCATCTAAGGAAAAGGGGGCGTGACCCAAAGGTTTTAACAGCCTTTTTTAGCCTAGCCCGCCCAGGGTGCTGACTCACACCTTCTCGGCTCAGTCCCAAAGGGGGCTCCAGGGCCCCAGCCTGTGCTTTGAGGGTGGCAGCCTATGTGCCAGCAAAAGCTGGCCTTCCAGGCCGGAAGCAGGAGACCGCAGGCTCCTGGCGATGGAAGCCTCCCGATGATTCTAGACTTGCTATCCTGCCATCTGCTGAGGATATGGACGATTCCCAGCAAGGACAGTGAACATACTGGCGCATCTCACCACAACAGGCCCGCAGCCACACGCAATAACTATGTGCGAGCCCCCCGCACGCCTCCAAAACAATGAAATGAATGAATGGAGAGGAGCTGGACATGGCGAGGAGGAAAGAAAGTGGGGCAAGCACCCGCGGCCCGAGGACAGGCCGAAGTGAAGACCCGCGTGGAGCTTTGAAAGAAACTGCACATAGCTTGTCAGTGTTGCTAGAGGCCCTTCTGAACCCACGCCCTCCTTTCCAGGGTGGACCTGGAAGCCCCACCCCGCTTGAAGCACCCGGCAAGTCCAAACTGGATAGGCTCATTTTATTACCTTCCTCTCCCCGCACCAGAAACTCCGGGCTGGGGGGCTGGGAGGATTGTACCACTGACTCGGTGAGGAGGGAGAGGGGACCAGACCTAGAGGAAACTCGAGGCAATGCTAGCGCACTGTCTTTGGGGTGCGACAGATCCAGGCCGGACCGTAGCCTTCCAGCTGCCATCTTCTGAGCAAGCTGAGCGGTCCTCGAGATCCCCAGCGCCCGTGAGAGCCTCTCCTCACTCCGCACCAACCGGGGCCGGGGGAACCCGAGTCCTCAGTGCAGGGTTCTGGAGGAGGAGCCGCGGGGCCTTCCGCCACTGCCCCTACACTAGGCTCCGGGCTGCCCCGGGGCTTGGGTGTCCTGCTGGATCGAGGGTGGTGGACTGGGGAAAGCTTGGAGCTCTGAGACCTCATCTCTGGACCTCCAGGACCTGGGCTGCGACCTGGGGACACCAAGGCTTCTGGTTAGATTGGGTGCTGGTGTAGGGAACTGAAATCAGGGCCCTTGCCTGAGAGTGCTGGGAGAGCCCAAGAGTTGTGGGAGACAGAGACCCTGTCCCTCCAAGAAACTACAAGTAAAGCCTGGAGCTCCCTACCCTTCAGTGACCAGTGCCACCCCTCTCACCTCTTTTTTTCTTTTCTTTTTTTT